CTTCAGAAATAGGCTGAATGTGATCAACAATATCCGTAAATGACAATCTCACGTTTGTATTCTGAGCCTGAAGGTTGAAGCTTTCGTTATAAATGAAATACCTTTCTGACTTTAATGCAAGGCATTAGATGCATCCGTGTTAAGACCCTATGCACATACAGCAACCGCATCTAGGAGTTTTAGATATCGCAGTGCTCCCTAAACCTACTGTTGCCCGTAGATGGTCCATCTTTTGCGTTGTTTGTGCTACCCCTTGGCTTACCAGTCGAACCACGTGGTGAAGTTTGGGTACCCAATGATGACCTAGCCTGGAGAAGATATTCCAGCTGCTCCAATGAGCAATTTAGCTTTGATTTGCCAAGCACAATATTTGGGTTCCTGTTTTGTGGTGTTAGGTTTAGGGAGTATGTTCTGAACCTGTTTCAGCTAGTCTATCATCAGTTACCTGCATCTGCTCTAAAGGGAGACCTCTTTTTTGTTACAGAGACTAAGATTTTACGATTTGTCTTAATTTCAAACCTTTGTTTCAGACGTGCCCCGCAGTCTATTCCATCGCAGTGTGTCCCAGGACCGTGACAGAGCGTTGCAGTGTGCTTTTTGTAAATCAGGCTTATCAGACAGAGGGCCCTCTGGAAGCTGTGGCACTTTGTTTCTGCCTGGCATGGGTTTTCGACCTACAGTACTTTGTTAAATATCGTCGCACATTTGTTTGTTTTGTGAGACTCGTAGGTCTCATACATTCAAAGCTGGGCTGCATGGGCAAAAGGCTGCTGACCTGCGTGAATTAAAAAAAAATGCTCCCACATATGTTGTTAAAAGAAAGTTTTCTGTGCTTGTGTAAGGCATTGAACGAATTCATTCGCCTTTAAGTGAAAAATATTTTTCCATTCTTGAGCATATATATTCCTGAATGTCAAAAACCCATGCCAGGTTTTTGTTCTGTTTTTTTTTTAATTTATAAATATAGGGTGACCCAAATCACCAGACTCGATCAAAAATGGACCCTAAAATCGTCGCCTTCACGTCGTAGACTGTGGCAAGTTTCTTGGCCCTATTTTTTACAGAAAAAGAGCTACGCTATGTAATCTTACAAAAAAAAAGGAAACCTATGAAATACATATTTGACAAAAAGTTTACATCGCTACGTACAGGCATCAATTTTTACGGTTTATTTTAGATCGAGCCTAGTGACTTGAGTCATTCTATATAGTAGTAATTTTTTGAGCAGATATATTCCTGAAGGTCAAAAACTCAAGCCAGAGTTTTTTTTAGATTTATAAATATACTAGTAATTTTACTGCGTCATATTTTATGATTGGGAGCTTTTTTACTAGGGTGTTGGATTTTTTATGGTCATTCTGATTATACAAGGAAACAAAGGACATTGAAAAGAGCTGTCTCTTGGTTGCCTTTTTTTCTCTCCAAGTTTTCTTATTCTTCAATGGATATATATAGGGTGTCCACAATATGTTATAGTTCTGTAAAACGAGCCAAAAAAATCAGATCCTGCATGTAGAAAGCTCAAGTAAGATTTAACCAAATGTGAATTTTTCCCGCAGAAATTTCAAAGCTTAGCTCCCTTCACATGAAAAATAAGACCAACACACTGGCCAGTGTCAATAGCAGTCATGTCTGCAGATGTTGGAGTTAGCGATGGTTGTAACTCCCGATAGGCACAACGAGCAGATGAAAGATCCCCTTCTGCTTGCTGTGCTTAGAACTAAATGACGTCACAGTTTACAACCATTGCTAACTCTGCAAGCATGACCACCGTAGGCCCCGGCAAGTTGGTCTCATTTTTCACACAAAGGAGGCGAAATGCCTTACAATTTCAACAGGTACCTTGCACATTCAGTGAATGCTTTAACTTTTAATGTGCAGGCACCAATTTTTCGGGCTCGTTCCGCAGCACTAAGAACCATTGTAGATGCCTATATAAATGCTAGTGATGTGAAATTTCGGCAAGTCCTTCAGTGCCAAGATGGCAGTCTTTTCTTCTATACTTTCTTGTGATGTGCAATTGTTTTCATTTTCAGTGTTGTGTAGTTCTAGAATTAATATACTCCACAATGAAAGTGCTAATTTTTTTTCTACAGATATTTGGTGCAACGTGTTTCGTAAAATGGTGATGTTGGCTGTCAAATCCTGCCAGAAAGTTCTACGGGTGTTGTCCGCATATCCAGTCTTCGCAGCTTGTTTAACTACACAGGCTTTCTTTTTCCAAATAAAGGTGTGCGACTTTTCAGAAGTACTGCAATATTTAGCTGTGAATGGGAGTGAAAGGTGTGCGGTATTGAATACCTCCCTGTTCCGAACAGACACTTTGTGCAACTTTTCAGAAGAGATACCTTTTCAAACAAGTTGCACAATCTGCCTTTTCTGAATAGGAAGCTGTTCAATGCCGCAAACATTTCACTCCTATTCACAGCTGAAGGGCCTCATTACTAGTAAATTCGTCTCTAAAAGTGTCAAAATGCGTCCACAAAAGGGCGAAAGTTACTCTCTCATTACTATAAAATTCATTTCTAAAAGGGTCAAAACTGATCCTCAAAGGGACGAAATTTACTCCCTCATTACTGTAAAATTCATCCCTAAAAGGATCAAAATTGGTCTTGAAAGGGACGAAAGTTACTCCCCCGTCATTATAAATATGACCCTTTAAGTTGCAAAATTAATCCCCAAAGGGACAAAACTTAGTCATCAATCAAACAGAAAAAAAAGTTAGTCCCCAATCACCACTGTTGATCCCCAAAGAGATCAAAGCTACTCCCCCAATTATAAACACGTCGGCGCTCAAGCGACCATAATTAATCCCCTGATGAGTTAAACTTGGTCCCTGATGCCCTGCTGTAGGGATCAAAAATACTCCTCTTAACGGTTCAAAACTTCGACCTCAAGGGATCAATGGAAAGGGACTAAAAGAAAAGAAAGGGACTAAACGGGGGTGTTGCCGTCTTTGGAGGATCACTATGAGTGACATCGATTTAGTCCCCAAAAAGGACGAAGAACAACTCCTCTTTGTTAAGAGTGGTGCGCTCTTTAAAAAAAAGAAGTAGTACTTCGTCCTTTTCCCGTGGTCAGGAAAGAGTTAGGGTATCTTTGAAGATGCTTGAGAGATACCCTAACTCTTTCATGACCACGGGAAAAGTAACAATTTCGAAAGGATCCGCGCAGATGATTTTATTTTCCTAACTTGCAAATGGAGCAAAATTACACATAAAAAGGTGGTTAATGAGTTCTTTAAAAAGAAACAAAGGTTGGTATAATAGAGATAAAAGGTTATAAATTTTTTACTTGAAAATGCAATGTACGTGCGGAAGGCGTATAAACGCCGGAACCTCTACATATATGTCAAATTAAGCAACAAATAAAAATTCCCAATATAAAAAACGTGCCCCACACCCATGGCTATTACTCCTGAATGTTAGTGTACTCTAACTAACGTTGTCTACTTTTGGTTCATGGGAGAGTTAGCCTCCGTAACTCATGTGCTTTGCAACGAAGGAATGTTTATATTGGTGAAGCACAGATAGTATATCTCACATCCCCAGCAAAATGTTTTCTTCGTGCTCTACCTTGGTTATGTCATAGCCTTGATTGCAGTTCCCTTATAGTTAAAATTTTCGTGCACCTTGTTAGGAACATAAAACGTGCACGTAGGCTCAGGACAGCCTTGGAAATTATAGTGATGCTTAATCTGTTAAGCGACACCCATAACATAATTTGAAGTGTCTCCAGAGCTCTCGAGGTCTAAACAATATGCCACAATACAGTTGAATCCTGTAAATAATGCCATTTTTGTTACGAACACTGATGCAAACAGTCAGCCTTGTTAAACAAGTGAAACCACTATTCCCAGGAGTATTTTTGACAGCCCACCACAATGTGATGAAGTTTAAACCTGTCTTGAAACCAAAATAGCGTTCTTTGGCTATCATCGATATTATGGAATATAACTCTCAACATTACATTCAACTTCTTGACGGAGCTTGGAAACCGTCAATCACCGGTGATCGATGGCCTATGGGCACAGTCAGGAAAGAGGGTACCATTGGCATGGGACGTACAAAATTGGAAAGAGAGGTGCTGGAGGAAGATGCAATATAAAAAGAAGGCGCGAGGCACTGCGTAAGTTAGCCCTCCATTTAGTTACATAACAATGAGATTGATTTTGCCGGTGCATGGTGAGGTACACGTCATCTACGTACAATAAAACTTTGGTTAAGGCTGGTTCGTTCATATCGATTAAAAGGTTAAAAGGCGCGAACAAAGCAGGACGAAAAGAGACATACGTACGACACGGACAGGCGCCTGTCCGTGTTGTACGTGGGCCTTTTTTCGTCCTGTTTTGTCCGCACCTTTTAACCTTTTTAGTCATCTACGTACGTTTTTTCTGTTTCTGATTTATGGCTGGTTTCTTGTTGCAGCCTTTTTTTTCTTCAATAAATGCTTAGTCAATAGCTCAGCGCTCGTCCTGTGAGCTTCTCTCTTTGTCCCTGTCGTTTTTCCCGCTGCTTTTAATTTATTCAGTCATGAACCAATTCGCCTGCATTGCTACCTTATTTCAATACACACACTCTTGTAAGTTAGCAGTAGCCCCTGTCAAATGTGTGCGTTTTTGCCCCTGTCCTGTTTACGCTTTAAACGTGAAGCGTTAAAAGCGTCGGCGGCCTTACACAAAAGTTTTGTGAAGTCGGCGACAATCTCGATGCTGAGAGGCTGAGCAAGGTCATAATGTCACACCTTCTATCTTGGACACCGCCCCCATTTGAAGTTAGGGGTGGGGGAGGGGGGGGGGTGGAGATGCCATTGGAGTAAGAAAGCGTTCGTGCCAGGCGGGAATCGAACTCAGACCATCAGTGCAATACGATATAATCTGCTGATTATAGCCTATTGCGCACGTTGTCAATTTTTTCTTTATTCTAGATACAAATGCAGGGCAAAAGTTGGAGAAGTAGTCAGTGCTGTGTGCTGTTTAATACTAAATGAGATATACATACCAGTTAAGCGTTCCGTCATTTTATATATTAGGCACTTCGAGTCGTAATAGTAAATTGGAAATTTGTTATCAAGCTGGGGGAAATCTAGAAAAGAAAGAAATTTATTTTTATTTTATTGATATATTTCTTTACCCTCAGGCAAAATGTGCATTGCGGAGGGAGGTGCATTTACAGAAAGATCTGGTAATAAATTAACTAAAGGTGCTGTTAGTAGGAGCTTGTTTAAAAGTAATAGCGTCTGTAATTGCATCGATTGAATCGGTAGGTGATTTCAGTCAGATGACGTTGGTCGTGTTAAGATAAACAACCCGTTTCCTAAAGTACGTTCATAATGTAAGCCGTTCATAATAACGAGCAAAATATGCATTTATTGACCGAGTTCGTCCCCGAAAAAGTTTGTCTTTACAGCGGGGTATCTACAGGAGTCACGGTTCAGGGTCCAACCGTTAGAAGAAATAGAGTGCATGATTAAGGAAAGAAGAAAGCTGTATTAAGGCGAAAGCGCTATACGTCCCATCGTTCAGTCGACTTTCAAAGTCCTTGAGCGAACACGTCGGCGACACGAGAAGTACGAAAACACGTCGGCGACACGAAAGGTGCCGAAACGAAAGGTACCAATGAAACGGCGCCAAAAGTGCGTTGTCAGAGAGCGAGCTGGCTCTGGAAGTTCGCTATCACCAAGACCACAGCCGACGCCACGCTCGGAATCAGTCAATGAAACGGCGCCAAAAGTGCGTCGTCAAAGAGAGCGCGAGCGCGCTGTCTTCGGAGGTACGCTATCACGTTTACACCGGCGCTTGGGCTTTCGCCTTCAAGTCGTCTCAGGGATAACATAAGAGATCGTCTGTATTTGTTTAGAGTGAGAGGATAAAATAAACTAATCTAAAAATGTACCAAAGTTATCAATGATCTCACATATTCGTTTCCACGTGACGATATTATGCTCGGTCTGTGCTGTAATGGTATCGGTCGGTAACGTTGGTCTGCGCCTTGAAATACCCGGTCTCTTTTTGAGTCCGGGATTCACATCCACTGATTTGGGTCACCAGCGAATCTGTCACTAATAAGTTCATCGGCACCCTTGTGATTGCTTGGTTTGCTGCCGAAAGTCGCTGGCACTGGTTTCGGTCACCACTGAATTCGTCACATGTAACTTCTTCGGCACCCTTGCGGTTGCTCGAGTCGCTTCCGAAAGTCCCACGCCAGCGTTGCGTCAATACCAAGGTCTCCTATCCTTTTCGGTTGTCGCCGAGCCTTCCCCGGGTCGTCGCCGGGCTCCTTTCAGTAGCTTCGGGGAATCATCCCGAAGCTGCGCCCCTCTACGTGACGTCGCCGAAATCTGGGCTCCACTGCTTCGAATGATGTTTCTCCTCTTCGCGCCTCTCGTCGGCTTCTTTCTTGTTTAGCTCGACCGTGAAACGTGACAACAGGATTAATCAAAATGATCGAAAGGCTTTGTGAAGAAACCACATAAATCTCAATTGTTTTATTTTTAGAGGCGCAGCTCTTAGGCGTTCTTTCCCGCGTTTTGCGGCGTCGCCGTCGGCGTAACCGGAGGACGACGGGAGGATACACAGGAGGAGGAGGGGAGGGTATGGAGTAACATGGGAGGATATGGCGGATGAGGAGAGCAGGGTACGAAGAAGGAGAAGGACACGGAAGGGGACGTGTGATAAATTTCTGCATAATTAAAGGAAGAGCACAACAGAAAAAAAAAATTCATTAGACGTTTTGCCTTCTATGCGGGAAGCATCTTCAGTAGTTACAAAGCAAATGCAAGGTTCAACGTCAAGTCAACGCTATTTATCAAGAATGTCCGTATAGGCTTCGTGGAGACGGCCCTGGTTTTTGTTGCATACAGATTTGTCCCTGCGGACGAACGACATTTCCAGGAGTTTCCGGGGCTTCCATCTATCCTTTCTCGCCAAGGTCGTGGCGGCCGCCAGGTTAAAAGAATGACCCATTGTCCACGGATTGTTCACTACTTCACTTCTTAGTCGCGTTGCGTGGGATAGGTACGTGACCTCACGATTGTGTGCTTTGAGCCTGGTCCCTCTCTTCTGTCCGGTTTCACCAATATGGGACGCTGGGCAGTCACTGCAGAGGATCTTGTAGATAACGCCTCTCTGGACGTTTTCCGGGGTGCATATTTTTAGGGCGGCGGCGATAGACCCCCAGCAACGGCGCCCACACCAGTGGTTCCTCATGCAGATGGACGCTGCCGCCGTCACACATAGTAACACGCAACTGCTTGTGTCGCGAAAAAAAATGTGTGGCTGTGTGTGTGTGGGGGGGGGGGGGGGGGGGGTTAAGTTTCGCCGTTTCAGCTCCACTGGGACTCTATCGGAGTTTCGCGGTTCTTGCGATGTGAACTTGGGGTGACGGCGCGCGTATCACTAGGGAGCCTGTTAAGCCACCCCCCTCCCCCCGACTTCCGTTCACGCCACTTCGCGGCGACAGTCAGCGGCTGCTCATTACAGATCTATTAATATTAATCCACTTGGCCTCCCTTACACGCCGCTTCCTGGTCTCCAGCCGGCAACCCAAGTCCCGCTGTCCCCAATTGCACCTCCGGAAAGGGAGTCCCATACCATTTAGTTCAGTGAAGTGCCGTCGACAACATTGTTTTTTTTTTTTTTTTTTCAGTGTTTATCGTAATAAAAATGTCGTAAATAACGCCAAATGCCTCGACAAAAAAAAATGTTCCAGAGAAAAAAAAGAGAAAAGTAAGCCAACACTGTGGATCGAACCAGGGTCCGCTGCGTATGAGGCAGACATCTTACCACTAAGCTACGCTACCGCTTCCGAGACTCGTTGTAACCGCTGCCTACGTCGAACGGTCGCAGCGTCCATCTCCACGAGCCAGCCAATCCGGCGTGAGCGCAGTTTTAGGGGGTGTATCGCTTGCGCCGTAAAAATTATGCTGCCGGGATTGGGTCCTTTCGTTTGGAAACGGAATTTCCAATAGTACTGTATGGCTCAAATACAGTTCGAATACCAAGGGTTCTCAAAGCGCGGCTCAGAGGTTCGGAGAGACCTTTAACTTGGGGGATGCACACTACATTCTTAGCTCTTTCTCTCCCACGCGGTTGCACAATTTGTTTAATTTGGCTGTTGACGTTGTTAATAAACCACTTTGGGTAGTCACGATTCTTCAAAGCTTCCTGTAAATGAGACATCTCATTTGCGCCATGAAGCTCGTTGGATGGCACAGTAATTGATTGGCGTAAAAACTATCGCACTACTGAATTCTTGTGTTGCACTTGGTGATGGGACAACAAATTTAAAAACTTGTCTGTGCCAAGTGCCGGCCAAAAGCACCCACTTGATTTGGGGCTGCTCGAAATTCCTTCCTATTCGAAATCTGCACATTGATGCCGTGCCCCCGGAGTACCTCGAAGTTACACCGAGTGGACGAGCCCCCATCCCACTAAACCTCTCGACCACAGCAAGCAGATCCTGGATTCTTGGCTTTCTTACGTGAGAGAAGCCAATCTAACTCAGTATATCTTGCCACTCATTTTTTACTGGTTCCATTTCCATCCCCTGCTTCCTCCTGCTCGTTCCCCCCGGCTCATGTGACTTTAGTTATGGGCAATGAATTGTATCCATGTTTCATATGAAGAATCAACGGTTCAGTCACCATCATTATCTTGTAAACCTAGTACCTGAATCTAGCCTCTAAATCATGCCAACAATCTTCTAAATATAAAAGTCTTTGTGACAAGATTCCCTTCGTCCCGAAAGCAGTAAGAATTTCAAATGTGGCGTAATATGGTTTCTAAACTCGTTAATATATGCCTTAATGTATTATTACGGCTTATTCTTGCTCTCATACTGTTGTAAGCGTTACGCAGCTATAGTAGTGGCTCCACAAAATCGGCCCAAAAACTTACTATTGGTGGTAAAATACGTCGATCTTCGGGGTTTGTGTTGTGTTTCTTCCATGGTTAACGTTACTGTTTTAGTTTCGCTGAAAGGTATCAAAGAAAAAATACATCACGTTATACTTATTTAAAATTGTAATATCACGACGGAAAAGTGTTTCACCGTCACTTAGTACAATGATGGTCCGGGTCACATTTTTATATTTATGTAAAAAGTACATGTGAAAGCCATTTTCTCGGGAGGAGCCTTGAGCTATATGTGAACGCTCTAGTTAATTTTATTCCGGAGATACATAATTTTGAAGCTGGAGGAGCGGACATTGCCAAGATTTAACTGAGGTACCTTTTACAGCCGAGAATTTCTCACAGAAGCACCCACGAGGCGATATGTTTTTTAAAATTTATTTTAGAAAGGTTTACAGCTTGTTTACAAAATATTAAAATAAAAATAAAGGATTTCAAGGGGAAAATTGCACTGAAACATGCCAGTGAAACACGTTTAAGAGCCTTTCACGAGTTATTTAGATACAAACTTATAACATATCGCAAAATATACTATAAACCTGAACGTTTTTAGATGCAAAATAAAAATATATAAAATATATGTGCTGAGCATGTTGGTGAGTTTGTTAACATGGTAAATATTAAAAATTCTTCAATTTTTATTTGTTTTAAAATCTTGTTACCAGTTTGTAGGGACTTGAATTAACTTTTGATGGCAAAATTATTAGTAACATATGATTTGCCAAAGAGAAAAGCGACAGCGAACCTTCACATTGAGCTAGATTGTCTTCGTTGTAGGGGCTTTGCCGCACGACGTGGTCTATTAAGGGATATTTTCTAAAACCGACAAGGGTATGTAGAGCCGTACTGCCCTATCATGGAGTGTAAAAATTTATGCTGACCCTTGCTTATTTTTATCTTTGTGTCACTAGTCGTCGCCCCCCCCCCCCCCCTTAAAAGAAATGCTGGGTGAGGTTTGCATTTTTAAGTCAAGTTGGATTTAATGGTTTTAGATAATGCCAAGTAAGTTTTTAATTCAAATTAAATCTTAATTTTTTTGCAATGACAGGGTTGATTACAAGAGTAATTACAAATTTAATTATATAGATCCCTTATTTTTTTTTAAATGGACCCTTTAACAGTACCAATGCTTCATCAACTTTGTTTTCTGTGCAATGTTTACTTTCACAAGAACGATTTGGCGCGCGTTTCATGAAACACCCTCTATGTAATGCTGAGTGCTTCTCCCAAGGACATAAATTTCACGTAATATATATTTTACACAAAATATAAACAAGTATGACTCAGAGCATCGTTGTATGAACTGAGGTAGAGCACGGAACAACCTAACACGTGTCGTTATAAAGTTTTATTTGTATTCCATTGTACGCGTATACGGTAGGCATCTATACGTAGAAATCGTAAGCTGGAAACACTGATATACCGACTTTCCAGATACTACTTCCCTCACTCTTTGTTTTCACTGTAACCAGAACGATCCTCGAATGCGGGATTTGGGTTTCATTGTAATGTGCCCTGCGTGCAGTTCGCTACTGCAGGTAACGGGGCGTCCGCCGACAGTACTTCGTGAGCAAAAGGCCGGGGGAGTTTTAGAAAGCAAAGTAAGAAAACAGTGCGATAAACTAAGCTAGGAAAGCATGAATTTCTACAAGCTGCACTACTGAACAGTCGTCGTCGGTTCTAGAAAATGCATTTGGAGCAGACATGGCGCGGTAAGGCCACTAAACGAAGAAAATCTAACTCTTAAATAAAGATTTGTCGTCGATTCTTTTTTTTTTGGGGGGGGGGGGGGGGCGGGGGGGAGGGGGAATTGATATGTTCCTCAATATTTTGCCATCAAAAGTTAATTCAAGTGACAAAAAAATATTAGAGAAAGTTTAAAAGAAATAATTGGATGGAATTTTTTTTTTCAGTATTTACGTGCAATTTTGCCAGAATTAGAAAGTTCAGCAGCGTTTCTGCATTAATACCAAAATTCTAATAATGGCTCGCCAGATTTTTATATTCGTAATATGCATGTAAAGATGCGCATTTTTATATATTTTACGACGTTTTATATAAAATAGTTTGTTTGTGAATAATTTGTAAATGGGTCCCTAAAACGTTTTTACTCACTTGCTTCGTAGCTTTTTATTTTCTTTTGCTTAGAAGTTCTTTTATTGTGTTTTTAATATTCCCTGAACATGCAAATTTTCATAAAAATATCCCTACGAGCATGGTTCGGTGTGAAATTAATGACTGCGGAAAGTACTATGGTGAAACCTTGGCAATGTTAACGCCTTAAACTTAAGCCAACTTTCTTATCTCTATCACATATAGAGTGTACAAAAATATAACATATATATGGATATATATGGATATATATATATATTGTTAGGAAAAGAAGAGGACGACGGGCTCGTGCAGCAAAAGGCGAACGAGAGGGCTCGAGGATTTTGAGCGTGCTGACCCCAACCGCCGATTTACAAACCGCATTGTAAATCTCATCCAGCATTAAATCATCGTTTTCCAACATCTTAACAATATATATATATATGATACGCACCATTATTGCATGAACTGAGGCGCAAACACCCAATTTCACCTTAAAACTGGATAAAGTGCGAGTCTGGTTTGTTTCAGATCCTGAGATAGCTCATCCCAAAGTGTGTCAAGAAAAAGGCATGTTATGTTCACTTTCAGATAACCCAGTGCATAAAAATACGACGATTAGGGTACACGTTGCACGCAGAACGGGGCTCGAGCGCCGGAGCCCTCTGGTGTTTCACCAGAGCAAGCTGGCAGCTAATGGCCGGTTCAGAAATAATTTCACGTATTCGGCGGCAGAGCACCTGTCTACGCAAATACAGCACTATGAATACACAACAAACGTTGAGTGCTTACATTGTATGTACATTGAATTCATCCGTCTACTTATTGCTCTTGGTGGTATGGTCTCCATGCCGGTGTCAGGAATGCTCACAATTCACAAACACGAGGTCCCACTGGGTTTAATGCGTTAGCATTAGTGCCCTGGTTCGTTCACTGACATTGGGCTGGTTTGGAGCACACGTATATAAAGTTCGCAACGTCGCCACGAAATGGCCCGACAGCCCGAATGGCTTCGGAAGAGGGTTGTAAACACTTTCTGCAAGCGCCGACAGATTGCGCCGGGGTGCATATTTTGGCAAGGGGTCGGACACATGGCAACGGAGGCCGCATTCGCCACGCAGTTGGGGCCGGTGGGCGTATTACAAAATATTAACCCATCTTGGCTTACTCGTACCAGCCGCTTCGTGACGCCACGCCGGCGTCTCAAAATAAGCGATCGTGATGCGGCTGCGCGCTTTGGACGCTCTCGGAAGCTCCTGCCGCCGGCTTTGGATACCTGTGAACGCACGTGGGTTGCGTTTTTATTCTCCGGCCTTCCACGTCGTTCTTGACGAGAAGTCGTCAAGAACGGCGGGGCTGTGTCGTTTTCCGCGCATTGCGCGCACGTCCTTTATGCACACGCTAGTCACTTGATCTGCTTTTACCAGGGAGAAGAAGGGTTTTGAGAATTTTCACCCCGCGGAAAAGTGCTGAGAGGCTGTATTGACCATGCTTTGTTATATACAACCGCTGCGCGAAATTCTCACGCATTTCTTTGTGAATAAGCTTTTTCCATAATGTAACGCGCAGCTTCACGAGCGGCGTCACGACGTTTCCCATAATATGACGTTCCCATAATGCGACAGTGACATCGTGTGTCATCGTGTCTTCACTCGTGACTTCGTGACGTCACGAGTGGCGTCACGAAGGTCACTCGTGAAGCCGCATCGGAGCGGAAGCGGAGGAGGCGGAGGAGAAGGAGTAAAGGAGGAGGAGGAGGAGGAGGGGAGATGCCAGCTACCCGTTGAGGCAGTCAAGTGATATCACCATTCATAAATCACAGGGAGGCATGTATGAAAAAGTGGTGTACTCGTTTTCTAAATGGCCATCTACATGGGTAAGGGTCTGTGTTGTACTCATCGATCTCTGTGGCACGTCAGACGAAGTTGGTAAATTGTGTGCCGCCAGGGTCGACTACGGCTGGCTCGTGGTAGCTCTGTATCTCTCCTCTACGGCACTCACCAAATATTTCGTGCAAGACAAAGAACTTCTATCAAGTCATAAAGGAAAACGTCCCATTAGGCCTCGAGGGTTGTGCGCTCGCTGTTCTGCTGTGCCATCTCGGGAGAGCACGCTCAAGACTAATGCTGAGGAAATCAAAAACGCCGAGCAGTCTTCGGCAGAGCCGAAGACTGACATCGAAAGTATCACGAACTTAGTCAAAGTGTGGACTGTAACGCTGTCTCGTTCTCCCGCCTTGCTCCTGCTGTCCTGTTTCCTGGCACCGGCAGAACTTAGACAGAGGGGAGATTCCAGATGTGAGAACAATATTTCCTCTCTTCGAACAAAGCGGTGAGCGACGATACTCCAATATATGTATATTGTGGCGTTTACGGCTTACAAGCTGTTCATTTACTGGACGTCCACTTGCTTTGCTCGTAGGCTTCCAACTCTGTCGCGAGCACTCTGTCTTATTCTCCTCGTTGTCTTCTTTTCCGCGACTTCACCTTCGCTATATTATCCACTCCCGTCTTCTGGAATTTTATCAGGGTTTAACGAAGTGCTTCATACAAGGACAGTCGATCACGATGAACCACGAGAGCCCGGGATCGGTCGTTTTGGCGTATGCGATAGACCACGTCACTGAGCCGTTTCACGATTGTAAAGGGTCCTTGGCAGCGACGCTGCAGTTTGGGGACAGTCCTCGTTTCCGAATCGGGTTATACAACCATACCCTGTCGCCTGGTAAAAAAGGGCGTGTTTTGACGTGTGCGTCATACTGGCTCTTCATGCGAGCGAGGCCGCTTGACAGCCGTTGTCGAGCAAATGCATGCATTCGCTCAAGATTTGTTCACAGCTTGCTCACGAACGACACAGGGTCTGTGGCCGATACTGATGCTCGTGGGCTGGTTAGTTCACAGGGTATACGAAGGTCATGGCCGAACAGCATCATCGCTGGCGCATAACCGGTGACCTCGTGAGCTGCTGTACC